CCCCAATAAAATGATTCAAAATGCCAGTAGTGTTCCAGTTAAGAAATAAGAAATGATGTGTTTGGGATTATAATCAAAAGAAACAGATTCTGGGGAACTTGAGCAAAAAATAACTTAAGTGGAAGGGTAGTAGCTAACTTTTAAAATAACAGGGAGGGCTTAGAATGAACCTCAAATAAGAAGAGGAGCCTGGGCAACAAGAGGTATCTATTGAATAGAACTAACGAGCAGTCCTTTCAGGACTCCACTGTCAGGAGTATTTTGTTTCTAGTTCTATCCTTAGGTCAGGTTTTGCTTGAGATTTACATTCGAATTCCTAGGACAGATTCTGAATGCTGGAGTGGCAGGCCCATCCTTTTATATGCTATTTGATTATGGTTAAAGTCCTCCTAGGCGGTATTCAGTAGGGAGAGATTGATTCCCAAAATAAATCACAATTGGGAAGAATGGGTGCTGGGTTACCACAAGCCAACCAATAGCCAGTAGCACCCTGTTATTTCTTTTTCATCAGAGTTATTTATACAGCCTCTGCTGAGAAAGCCTGGCACAGAATGTGTAGAAAAAGAAGTCCTAAATCCAACCTAACTCATGTGGCATGCTCCTCGTCTTTGTGAGGAAGTTGGATTATAGGCATGAGCTAACCATGTGGCCAGAACATGTAGTATCTCTTCTTCTTTTTGTTTGTCCGTCTGTGTGTTTCAACGCCTTCCTCAGGTAGTAGAAGCGGTTAACAGTACAGCCGTCAACTGCCATAGCAATGAGACCGCCACACTCACCCCCACCATGGACTCTCGGCTGTACATGCTCTCCTTCCTGCCTTTCCTCGTGCTGCTGGCCCTCATCCGGAACCTTCGGGTCCTGACCATTTTCTCCATGTTGGCCAACATCAGCATGCTCATCAGCCTGGTCATCATCACCCAGTACATTGCCCAAGTTAGTGCCTGGGGCCTGCCTGAGTCTTCCTCCAGTGGTAGCACCTTTCTGCCCGGAGGACACACCTGAGGGAACCCGGAGGGTGGGGTGGGGTGGAGGGTGGAGGGCATTAGTAGTGAGGTGTTCCTCATGTTTCAGTCTAGCCCTACCTCAGGGTAGGATTCTTCCACAGGAAGCAATCTCATCCTTCTAGATAGCTCTTCTTTTAGATTGTTTCTCCAACACCTGTATTTTATGTTACATTCTGAATTTTCTTTTAAAACATACTTTGCAAGGAAAATATCTTGATCAGTGAGTTACTGACCAATCCTGTGATAGTTGGAAAGCAGCAGAAGGCAAGTAAAAAGAAGCTCTTCTCCCACAGCTGAAATTTAGCAAATGACCCCTCGTCTTCCATCCTCTAGGTTATAATTCCAAATGCCCAAACTTGTCCCTAGGGAATCGGAGAGAGAGAACTATAAAAGAAAAAAAAGTCACAAAGCTATAAATTGTGAATCTCAAAAAAATCACAATAAATTGATCATGATGTTCCTTAAAATGTCTGCTGAATTGACTGGTGGATATTGATTTTCCCTCGATATCTCACTTTTTCTATCCTTTTTAAATGTTTCTGTTTTAACGAACTGCCTCTCACATTTGCTCAGAAGTCATGAGAAAAGCGTTAAGTTGCCCATGGCATTTAGCAAGAGCAGTGAGTCGGCCATGTTTGGAACCTCACAGCAGTCTTACATGCCCTAGGGAGCACCGATGACCACGGCAAGACAACTAACTTCCTTATTCGACAGCAGCCGCTTCTGGTCGATGCTGGGAGATTCCAAATGTGGCTCAAGTAAAGAAGGGGTTCTGGATTCATTGTCTATTCTAGGGTACTCAATATATAAAATATGCATTCCACATGCTTTTGTCCTCTTTGATTTCTTCAAGAAGAAAAGAGGATTTTAATTTTAAGTAATTACTTTGAGTTCTTTAGGATATCACTGTAGTCATCATATTTCTCACACCCATGACCACTATCAATTCCAAGGTGTACTTGGCCACTTCATATGGGATTAATCTTGGTTCTATCATACATTTTTCCTTCTTTTTGGAGATTTCTGCAGAACCAAGCTTCCTCCATGAGACACTGCCCATGAATACATTGCCAGTCCCTCTGTTTCTTTCACTGGTACTTTTGTGCCCTGGTGATATCTGTTCAGATACTTGCCAACTTCTCTTTGAAGTTTGCTGAACTTCTTGGCATTCTATTGAAATGATACAAGTGTACTCTAGGAGGAGAGCTTGAGATGTGTTTTGAAGGTTCGTGTTTTATCCCATTTTTCTCTCTCCCGTAGGGAATTCCGGACCTTCACAGTTTGCCCCTGGTAGAATCCTGGGAGACCTACCCTCTCTTCTTCGGAACGGCCATTTTTTCCTTTGAAAGCATCGGTGTGGTAAGATGTAAATCGGGGTGGACTTTGTTGGTGTTGTAAGTGGCCTTCCGAAATGGAACTCGGAGTTAGGATTTCCAAGTCCTCGTTCCATTGTGTCGGGTCTGCCGGAAAATACGCTTGGGTGGAAATAGCCAATGACTTCACATGGGTCACTAACCACCGGCAGAAGTTACAACACAAAGCCGGTCAGGAGAGAGCATTGTAGTTTTGTAATAATACCTCTACCAAATAATACATCTACCAAACCTTTGTCTGCACAGCACATAACATTCTTGGACATGTTTCCTAATCTTTAAAATCAAGACAAAGAAAAGGTATACAATGTAAATTAGAAGATGTAATTAAACATAAAGACATTTTCAGCTAGGAAGTACTGTATAATTACAATGGTTTTTAATCTAGGCTTTACTTCTGCACTTTAGAAAAGGAAATGCCATGCGCTTTACACAATTGATGTGTGTCTGGATTGTGATAAGAGTTGTATGAGCCCCTAATCAAATGTTTAAAAAAAAGAAAAGGAAATGCCTAGGTTCTTCCATTTAGCCAAATGCTTTCGAGGTTCATTCACGCTGCAGAACATCTCAGTACGATGATATTCCCTTATATATCGGAGTAACAGCATGCGTGTTCCACCATGGGTTAGCCATTATCAGCCCACGGACATGTGGCTTGTCCCCACTTTGGGGCTCTTGTGAACAGTGCTGCTTTGAGCATTTGCGCACGTGTCGTTGTTTGAACGCCCGTCTCTATTCTTTCCGTTTATAACCATCAGAGGGTTGCTGGGCCATGATAAGTCTTTCTGTGTCCAACTCTTGGTGAGGATCAGCCAGACGGTTTCCCACAGTAACTGAGCCATTTTACTTTCCAACCAGCTATGTAGGAAGTTGCCGATTTTCCCAGATTTTCACTGACGTGTTCATTTCTCTTTGGGGCTTAAAAAATAGTATTATAGCCATTTGAATGCATATGGATTATTATCTCATTGTGATTTTGATTTGCATTTCCCTTATGACTTACCAGAGGCATTTGGTTGCTAACCAAAAAGATATTGCCAGTAATTCCACAGGAGAAAGATCAGACAGCTTTCCTAATGCTTCACAGTCTCAGAAACGACAGAGCAGTCCTGCCCTGTCCTATAGGGCCGCCAGGAGTCAGAATCGGCCATAGAGCGATGGGTTGTTTTGTCTTTAATGACAGGATGTTGAGCCTTTCTTCATGGACTTACTGGTCATTTGTGTATTTAAAGATAACTTTGTTCAAGTCCTTTGCTCAGTTTTGATTGTGCTGTCTTGTTGTTGAGTTGTAAACTTTCTTGTTTATTTTATAATATATTTCTAAGATAAGTCGATTTATTCTCTCATCCTGTGTTTTGTCTCTTCTCTTTCTTGAGAGTTCCCTTTAATGTCCAAGTGTAAAATTTTTCATCGAATTCATTTTGCTTTCTTTTCTTGCCTGTGAGTTTCCGGTCCTATTGGTGAAACCATTATAACCCAACTTCACCCCATGTTTCCTATTAAAAATGTTATGGTTTTCGCTCTTTCAGTTAGGTCTTTGATCCCTTGTTAGTACATTAGCACCATTTGAGACTTGTCTGGAGATTCTGGCAGGGGAGCGAGCTACTCATATACCCTTGACTGAAGGACGGTCCTCCTTCTATGGGGCAGGTTGTCCTCTTCAACCCAGCGAGCAGCTTGGGGAGAGAGGCACATGGAGCAGTGAGGGAGGAAGGGGACACCTGCCCCGCCAGCCAGATCAGCCGAATCAACCCTGGCAATCAATGGGGCGACAAGTGTCCCAGCCAGATGGCCCTCACATCCCTCAGCACCATTTGAGGACAAGACTATGATTTCTCCACTGAGCAGTCATTGTCAGGGATCGATTGATGATAGATATGAGTTCATCTCCAGATACTCAGTTCTCCCATTGATCTGTCTATATCTATGCCAATGTCACATAGTTTTACTGGCTGTGCTTCGCAGGAAGTTCTGAAATGGGAAAATGTGAGTCCTTCCGTCTTCCCTTTTACAAGTCCACTTTGGCCAGTGCAGTTCTATAAGAATTTTAGGATTACCTTGTCTACTCCTACACACACACACACACACACACACACACACACACACACACAAGGCATTTGGAATTTTGGTAAAAGTGACATTGAATTTGTTGATCAACTTAGTGATTATAGCTGTCTTAACCGTGCTAAGTCTCCCGATCTATGAGCACAGATGTTTTTATGTTTACTTAGGTTTTCCTTAATTTCTTCTAACAACATTTTGTAGTTTTCAATGTACAAGTCTTACACCCCGTTGGTTAAATTAATAACAGAAAATTTTATTCTTTTTATGACATTGTAAATGGAATCATTTAAAAATTATGTTTCATATTGTTCATTACTAGTGTACAGATATACAACCTGTTTTTGTATGTTGTTCTTATGCCCTGCAGCTTTGCTGAATTAGCTCTAGTAGTGTGTGTGTGTGTGTGTGTGTGTGTGTGTGTACCAGGCAGACTATATCCCCAAGGACATTCTTCTTATTTGAGAAGACAATATGAAGTGTGACTTGAATGAAGGTGGGGAAGTCGTGACTGAGGTAAGGGCTTGAAATCACTCTTTAGTAAGGTGGTGACTCAAGATGCATTTCACCCTAACCCTGCCTCGTATTTGCATAGTGCCCCCCATCACCGTGTGGGAGTCACAGAGACTAGACGGACATATTAAGTACTTCACTGCCCCACAGCGTGCTATTTTTACTAATTGGCTTTGGGCTGTATCTCATATTATCATGCTTTTAGTTGTGCTCTAGGTCTTATAATAAACATATATAACTTTTCACAATCTACTTAGAGTTAATATTTTACCACTTTAGGTAAAACGTAGAATTCTTAAAACTGTTTTTGTGTATTAGTGCCGCTTCATGTTTTATTCCCATACGTATTCCAACTAAAAGCATTAAAACACCAGTAGATCATGTCACAAATTTTGCTTTCAATAGACATACATAGTCTGTTTTAATAAACTTGCTTGGAAAAAATTAGTTTATTATATCTCTAACCAGAGAGTAGCCATGTCTGCTCTTTCTTTCTTCGTCCCTAAAATCCCAGGTTTCTCTCTGGTATCATATCCCTTCAACCTGAAGGGGTTCTGTTCATGTTTGTTTCAGTGGAGATCTGATGGCCTTCATTTTCTTCATTTTATGTGACTTCTTTACTGAGAATGCACATATTTCCACCCACTTCTTAAGTATTTCTTAGAGAATAGTTATAGTCATGGCTGGGAAATATTTCTCTGCTATTTCCAACATTTGAGTCATTGTAGGATTGATACCTGCTGTCTTTTTCTCTTGTCAGTTGTTGGGGTTTTTTTATTTCTGTGTAGCAAGTCATGTCAGACTGCACCCTGCACATTTTGAATATTATTTTATGAAAGTTGAGCGCCTACTGCAGTCTTCTGAACAGTATTTGTTTTTGTTTGTTTATTTTAGCTGGTGATCAGCCGTGTAGACTCAGACCAGAAGTCCGGACTTCTGGTATCTTCTGTGGGTTAGGGTTTCAATATCATGTTAGTGTTCCAATGTTTTACAGTGAGATTCAGGTCCACCCTGACCACAGGCTACCCGGGGACCAGTATGGTACTTGCACAGTGGTCTGCACAATAACTCACCTATTATAATAGGTAATATTACATCATTATTACAGCATCTTCTTGATGCTTTGAATCTGTTCCAAACACACGCAGCTCAGTGTGGAATCCAGGACCCCATCCTCAGATTTAGATGACTCATTTTCTTTAGTTCTCTCGCCTGCACATTCGCCAGCAACCAACAGTCCTTTGCCCTGGTGCTCATGGCCAGGGCAGCGGCTCACTCGCCTGATGTCACCTCCTGGGGGTGATTTTCTGGCGTCACTGTGGGCTCTGCCACTGGAGCCCTTGAGCCTTTGACCTGCTTAAGCTAGTGTTCAGCTCTCTCTTACCGCAGGCGCAGGCAAGTCTTCTTCCGAAAAGCACTCAACTCTCCCTCTCCCCGCAGGCCAGCAAGCCCAGTGAAGACATCTCCTTTAGAAGCGAAGTGTGCTTGAATCTTATTTTGGCCATGACTTTTCTCTGCACTCTAATGTCCCAGCTACAGAAGGATGATCATATTTGTTCAAGAAGTCCACACAGAGCTCCTACCCTAGGCTAGAGTTTATTCACACCAGAGTTGAACTTATCCTTAGAAATCTTGTCACTCAGACTCCAATGTTATAGCAAAGGAGCCTAAGCTCCAGAGAGGAAAAGAGACTGGGGCTAGGTCACCGGAACCCCTACAGCCACTGTGACTGAAGCCCAGCACTGTGACTCCCAGTCGGGGATGTCCCCTTGAATGTCAGCGACAGCTGACCTCTTCCACTGGTTCATTGCCCCTTGTGGTTGGGGTGGCGGTGGGAGGCGGGGCAGCTCCGCAGCATCATCTGGCCTTGCAAAATAACTGCTTTGGAGCTAGGAAATACGCAGAGTGGAAATGTCGCATTTTTTGTGGTAGGGCTCAGGTTGGATTGCCTGCTCTCCATATAATCCCTGCAAATAGTTCCCTGAGCACCTGCTGCCGCTGGAAATCTGCAGAGAGCCCAGGGTGGGTGGGAAGGGGCTCAGAGATGCCAATTTAACAGCACAAGGAAGTCTATGCTAAATTTCTACATTGTAATAAGCATACCCAGTGCTGTCGGAGTCGAGGCCAGAAGCAAAGGCTTGGACTTTGACAGAAAGCGCAGATCAGAAACCTGCATCTTCCACTTCCAGGCTGTTTGTCACGGAGCAAAGTTACATTACCTCAGCGTCTCCTCCTCCTCGTCTGTAAAACAAGCGTGATGCAAATATTATTTGTAGAGTGGCGGGCTTCCTAGTACTAAGAATAGTACTTAGAAACCGCTGACCGTTTCTAAGCCCTTACTGTGTACCATTGTGGTACCAGGTGCTCATGCCATTTTCCTGTCAAAGCTCCCAAGCAGGAGGTGGTCTTCTTGTGCCCACTTCACATAAGGACATTGCGTCAACACAGTTCCGTGGGACTCAGGATGTAGCGTGTGCTTAGCAAAGAGCCTGGGTGAGGAGAAGGCTGATCGAGGAGAAGGTAGCGGTGGTCTCCCAGGGGTCTCTCAGTCAATAAGAGTTCAAAGAGGGAATGTGGGGATGAGAGGCAGACGCTTAGTCCCAAAGACAGCCGGGACTCTTCGATGTCCAACAGGCCCAAGACGCAGTCTTAGCGCCAGCTTGGATCTCACTTAAAGAAAAGGCAGATCTTGCAGGACTATCAACCCAAATGCCTTTAGGGGGCGATAGGAGTGAAGAGTCGGTGTCTCGCTGGGGAAAGGCTGGGACTGTTAATGAGAGAATGTTTTGCCTCAACAAGAAAGTGCCCCACTCATTGCCATCGAGTCAGTGCTGGCTCGCAGGGGCCCTACAGGGCAAAGTAGAACTGCTTGTGAGTTCCCGAGATGGTAACTCTTGACGGGAGGAGAAAGCCCATCTTTCTCCCTCTTAGCGACTGCTGCGGGCTTTCAAAAGGCTGCCTTTGTGGACCACAGCCCAACTTCTCACCACTCTGCCGCCAGGCCTCCTGTGTTGCCTAAAGGCATCCATCTTTTTACAGACTCTGCTGGCCGGATTCCACGGCTCAGAGCTGTGAGATCGTAGTCTGGGTAACCTCCGGGGCCCTGCCTGCTGCGCCTGGGCTGGGGCCCACGTCCTGTCTCCATGCCTGCCCACATCCAGCTTTCTCCTGCTCCTCTCTTCCTTCACCGTGGTGTTTCTGCAGGTTCTGCCTCTGGAGAACAATATGGAGGATTCCCGCCGCTTTCCAGCCATCCTGTATTTGGGAATGTCCATCATCACTTCCCTGTACATCATCATCGGGGTTCTGGGGTACCTGAAATTTGGAGACGACATCAAGGCCAGCATAACCCTCAACCTGCCTAACTGTTGGTACCTACACGGGCTCTGATGCAGGGGGGTTCTGGGCTTGGTGGGAACATGTGGGCCACTTTCTCCATCCTTCTACTGATGGAAATCTGAGGTCCCGAGAGCCTCCACAGGGAGAAGCAGTATCGCTGGAACTCGGGGCCCCAGGCTCTTCCTCTCACAATAATCTGGGTTCAGCCTTCCTATGTTAGTGTGGCGAAGCGTGCTTTGAGAAGAGAGGAAAGAAGTGAGAGTCTTTGGTCATGGGAGGAGAGAAAAGAAGGGTACTGAACAAGACACAGAAAGCAGGCTGTAGCCACACCTCCAGCTACCGATAGTCAAGACTGCCTTACCCAGACTTACCCCTCCCTGCTTCTGGTGAACAAGTCCTGAGTTAGAGTGGCTCAAACCCCAAAACCAAATCACTGCCATGGAGTCGATGCCGACTCACAGTGACACCACTGTGGGTTTCTGAAACTGTGACTGCTTATGGAAGGAGAAAACCCCGTCTTTCTGCCACAGAGTGGCTGATAGTTTCGAACTGCTGACCTTGTGGATCACAGCCCAATGTGTAACCACTATGCAAAAACACAGGCATGTGCAACTAGACCTTTTTCAGGGGAGGCCTATTGTCCTACCCTGGGCACACACATTTTTATTGATCATTGAAGATCCACACACCTCATTTATGAACTAAAGGGAAAAGTTCTTATCTTGACATGTCAAGAGGAGCTTTGAAAAAACCTCAGCTTCCCTGAACCCTCACATTCTTATTGCCCCTAGCCCGAGGTTTGCAGGCAACCCACTGACTCTCCTTTTACGTTCCACGCTCCCTAAGGATCCAGGATTCTGCACTTTTCAACCAACCAGAAGCATTTGCTGAGGGCCGCTACATGCCAGTAGCCTGGGTGACCCAAAACATTTGTCAAAAGTGAAATAGAGATGTAGTCTTAAAATCCAGGGTTTGTGCCTTAGCCATCGATCACCCGTGTATCTCTTCCTTTGTGCGGGACCTGTGAATTGAACGTCACGTGATAATGAGTTTGGAAGGCCCTCTGCGTCTCTGTCCATGGTGACAGCGCGTGTGACAGGTAGGGTGTTCCTGGCAGTATTCCTTAGGGAAGATATTGCTAAGCCTCTCCTCCCCAGTGGTTCTAACTGCCAGCCTCTAGATTAGCAGGAGAGAGGGATCCAATGCTGGGACCTGCGTGGTACGTGCGCAGTCACCGTGAGTCAGAGTAGACACAATCGATGGAAATTGGTTTGTTCCCTGCGGAGTTGTGTGCTTTGGGGATTGTTTCTTTGTTTTTGCCTTTTATGCCTATCCACACCCAAGATCCCTTTTATTTTATTTAGAGATGTCACTCTTCAACTGTTTCCATTGGAATCATAGCGCTTCAGTGTGTTTTCACTGTGTACTCAGGTGGGACTCCTAGAATCTTAGGTCACACGCCACCATTTTCAGACCAGAAAACAGAGGCATAAGGAATTGTCCTAAAGTCAGCGGTCAGTGGTCCAAGGAGGCCCAGCATCAGAACACAGTGGCCTCAGAAAGCATCGCTCTGCTTTGTCCTGCAGGTTGTACCAGTCTGTCAAGATCCTCTATATCATTGGCATCCTGTGCACCTACTCCCTGCAGTTCTACGTCCCGGCGGGAATCATCATCCCATTCGTCCATTCCCGGGTATCAAAGCGCTGGGCACTGGTTACGGACGTGTTTATCCGCTTCTCCCTGGTCTGCCTGACATGTGAGTAGAGCACAGTCTCCCATTTGCTGTTTCCCTGGGAGCCACCAGGAGTCCGGTGGATGGTAGAGGACCGTCCTGACCAGCGGCATGTAGTGAGCATATATGTGAAGGCTTCCCGAGAACGAGCACCCAGTGACCTCCGGAGCAACCTCATTCTTAGACCATTAGGCAGATTTATCAGGGCTCAGCCTGGGGGAGGGGCACAATTGCTAGAATCATAATCATCATGGTAAGAACTAGCATTTTTGGAACACCTGCTCACTGGGTGGCAGGCACTGGGCCAAGCTCTTTCTTGGGCAGGCTGATAGCATTTAATTCCTTCCCCTGAGGCATTCCTGTGACATCGTTCTATTATAAACCCTACTTTACAAATTGGAAGCACAGGTAGTCCAATGGTCGGATTCTTGCCTTCCAAGTTCAATTCCTGGCCAGTGCACTCCTGGACAGCGGCCACCCACCATGGAGGTGTGTGTGCTGCTATGATACTGAACAGAGTTCAGCAGAGCTCCTAAACTAGGATGGGCCAGGGAGGAATGCTTGGACATCTAAGTTCTGAAAATCAGCCAGCAAAAACCCCATGATCACAATGAGCCAGTCACACTGCTCCTGGGTGACATGGGATGGGGCAGAGTTTCAGTCCATTGCACATAAGTCACCATGAGCCCGGGGCTCACTCGTGGTTGATTTGACTGTGACATTGCAGATGAGGAAACGGAGGCAGGGAACAATGAAATACTCGGACATGAACACCAGAGGTGGTACCTGAACTCAGACATCTAACTCCTGAGGCAGCACCTTCACCTTCGCCTTCACCTTCGGGAGATGCATTGCAGCTATGGGGACCTATGACTCTGTTTGCAATGGATATAGTAAGCTTGACTCTCACAATATTTGACAAATTTGGAGCAACATTTAAAATAAGGATCATCTCATATATAAATCCAGATTTTTAATATTGCTTGGGAGAAAAAGAAGGGGGGCGGCTAGAAGAGCCGGGGCTCCCCACTGGCACCGACCACCTGGAGCTCCCTGCCTTCTGTGCTCACCCTTGGCCTCTGCTAACCCCTGCCAGCCCTTCCCAGTCCTTCTCCAGGCTCCAGGCCCATTGACTGTGGTTGGGTGCAACTGAGTCCCTTCCACCGCCTAACGACCCAGCAACCTGCAGCAGATACCTTAGCAGAGGCCAAAGGACATGATGAAAATTCACACAATGCGTATGCAGTCATCCAACTGTCCCTAGGGCTCTACTTAATTCAAAAAATAATAAATAAGTTTGGTGTAAGACTACAGAGCCAAAGATACATCATTTCTACATATGCATTATAGTGGTAATTATTACAGTCCTCCAATTGTACTCCCATTTTCACTGTTTCTCCATATGATTCACTGCCATTGTCTTCCATTTTCCATTCACTGTCCCCTCATCTCCCCCCCTACCTTTCAGGTTAGCGCTGTCAATTTAATTGCCCATACCAAACTCAAAATCCAAACTCCCTGCCATTGAGCCAATTCTGGCTCGTGGCGACCCCGTAGGACAGAGTAGAACTGTCCTTGTGGGTTTCTAAGACCATACATCCTTATGGGAATCAAAAGTCTCATCTTTCTCCCATGGGGTGGCTGGTGGACTTGAGCTGCTGACCTTTCGTTAGTAGCCCAAATAACTTATAACATAGACGATCTTTAAAAGGGTGGGATGCTCTTTATTGATAAAGATACACTTTATCAATTAAGATAAGCTATTTTGAGGGTTAAAGAAGACAGCAGGGGATATTTTTGGTTTAAAGTTTAAAGAGTAGCTGGGTCACTAGTTTCAGGGTATCCCTAGCCTTAAACTCTCCAGATGTCTGGATTCCATTAATAATTTGAAATTCTGCTACACAACCATCTTTCCCACCACATTTGGTCAGAATTCTTTGATAGAATCTTTGGTCAAAAAAGATATTCAGTTATGGTGTCTGGGCATCACCCAGTTCTTCCAGCTTCATGGCAAAGGAAGTAGTTGTTCATGGAGGCCAAATGCAGTTTTAAAAAAAATTTTAAATCATTTTATTAGGGGCTCATACAACTCTTATTACAATCCATACATATATCAACTGTGTAAAGCACATTTGTACATTTGTTACCCTCATCATTCTCAAAACATTTGCTCTCCACTTAAGCCCTTGACATCAGCTACTCATTTCCCCCCCTCGCTCCCTGCTCCACCCCCCCAATGAGCCCTTGATAATTTATAAGTTATTATTACTTTGTCATATCTTACACTGTCCGACGTCTCCCTTCACCCACTTTCCTGTTGTCCGTCCCCCAGGGAGGAGGTCACATGCAGATCCTTGTAATCGGTTCCCCCTTTCCACCCCACCTTCCCTCCACCCTCCCAGTATCGCCACTCTCACCACTGATCCTGAAGGGATCATCTGCCCTGGATTCCCTGTGTTTCCAGTTCCTATCTGTACCAGTGTACATCCTCTGGTCTAGCCAGATTTGCAAGGTAGAATTCAGATCATGATAGTGGGGGGGAGGGCATTTAGGAGCTAAAGGAAAGTTGTATGTTTCATTGTTGCTACATTGCACCCTGACTGGTTCGTCTCCTCTCCACAACCCTTCTGTAAGGGGATGTCCAGTTGCCTACAGGTGGGCTTTGGGTCCCCAATCTGCACTCCCCCTCATTCACAATGATATGATTTCTTGTTCTTTGATGCCTGATACCTCCTCCCTTCAACACCTCGTGATCACATAGGCTGGTGTGCTTCTTCCATGTGGGCTTTGTTGCTTCTGAGCTAGATGGCCGCTTGTTTACCTTCAAGCCTTTAAGACTTCAGATGCTCTATCTTTTGATAACAAAACGTATTTTTTCAAATAAGAAAAATGCATATTATTCCCTCCTCTGATTCTCCATTCTCCCTCCTCTGCTGCTCCAGGTGGACAGCGTCCCATTGTTGTGTACCTTGAATGGTCACAAGACCCCAGTCACTACTCAATGAACTAGGAGGTGGAAAAGAAGAACTGAGAAACGATATCAGGCCAATCAGTGATGTCGTCTCCCAAAACCATGACCCTACGCCATGGAAACAAATTTCATGGAGTGTCTGGATCAAAAGATCATTTTAACTATAATTTGAAGAAATTGTTGGTTCTTGCTGTACCAGACTGGTCCGAAAGCACTCACTGAATATTTTTTTAAGTGATTCCTTCCCTTGGGAGATTCCAGAGGGGTGAAGGAATCTTCTCATAGTGCCTCATAGTGACCCCATAGGACAGGCAATAAGTCTTTACTGAGGCAGCTTGTTAGAGCTCTCCTGTGGTTCGGTTGGCGGATTCCACTCACTAACCTTTTTATTAGCGGCTGAGTGCTTTAACCTACATGCCACCAGCACCCCTTGGAAGGAAGAGAGTGGGTCACTGCTTATGGAGTGCTGTTGGGGTCCTGTTATACCGATGGGGGAAAATCACATTGATTATAGGCAGGGCTCTACAGAAGGTTTGTTGGTTTAAACTTTTGATGGTGAATGAGGTGAACGTTTACAGAGAAAATCATCAATTCGTTTGTTTGTTTGTTTTACATAAATTAACCCATGTATTACAGGCCAGAGAGGTTTCAGGTTGTGGAGCTTCTACTGGTCTTTCAATTCCTCCAGTCTCCCGATGGCCGGTGATACCGTGATGGCAGAGGGGATATTGTAGGTCCAGGCCCCGCCAGCTACTGTTCTCGTGCAGGAGCACAGTGCCAGATGCCCACAGCATGCCTCCTCATTTTGGTTTTGCTGCAGAAGAAGCAAGTGTCCTTGGCATGCTGGCCGATTTCCATTTTCTTCATCGTTTTCCTGAGGGAGGCACCCTGACCGGTCCCCCGGTGCCCATGACCCTGGCCTTCTTGGTGTCTTTGGCCATCTCGCCGCAAACTAGTTCCAAGCCAGAGAGAGGTTATCAGTTTTACCCTCAACGGTGCATACACATTTGTTTGAACTCATCATTCTAACCCCCTGAACGCACCCTTGCTTATCCCACGTCCTCTTTGCCCAACATACAGCATTGCCGTGGACTGAAAGGCAGAGGGCCTTATAAATCACTGCCATTGCTGTTCGGTGTTAGATGTTAGGAAAGAGGCTCAGACCGGGTGCCCTGCCTGGGGTGAGTGATATCCTCGAAAGGCTTATTAAAACCAAACATTAATTGTTCCTTCGCCGTGAAAGAAGTTCTGCCTTGAATAGTATCCTCTTTTACAGAGTGTCTATGGGAGATCAAATTAGCAACAGCAACTTGAACGTTTAGAGAACCTTGGAAATCAAACCCACAGTCTTAGAGTTGATTCTGACTCATAGATGCCCTACAGGATGGGGTGGAACTGCCCCCACCTGCCCCCCGAGTTTCCAAGATGGTACGCCTTGGCTGGAGCAGACAGCCTCATCTTCCGCCTGTGGAGTGGCTCTGGGGTTGGAGCAGGTGACCTTATGATCAGGGCTCCTGGGAGAGAAACCGCAGGGGTCAGACAGTGACAGGTAATAAGGAGGAACCACCCGCAGAAGGAGCACGAGAATGGCTGCACCGCTCAGATGCCATGAACGTCATTGAACCATACATGCAGAAGCTGTTGCTCTGTATATTCACAATAAGAACTACAACATACTTTGAAATGTGAATGTGGGCTACAAAAATAAAGTCTACAGTATTATTAGTAGGTATTCCTTATAAATTTAATAAATAGTTATTGAATGAATGCAGTTTTTAATGCCACATAGGGAATCCAAGGCTGCAAATCTTCACACAGAAACAGACAGCCTCATCTTTCTCCCATGGGGCAGCTGGTAGATTTGAACTGCTGGCCTTGCATTTAGCAGTGCAATGCATCACCCACTACCCCACCAGTACCCATTTTTAGAACCTTACAGTCTATCAAGTGGAGGTTGAGCTATAGATCACGATCTTGCTCTACTAGGGAAAGAGCAGTAGGTCCCTAGATTGCTGTGATAGGAAAATAAGGAAACAATGAGCTACATATAACCCCTTCCTAAGGGAGTGAACAACAGAAAAGTGGGTGAAGGGAGACAGGTTGGTGTAAGACATGGGGGGATTTATAAATTATTCAGGGTTCATGAGGGTTGGAGAGTGGAGGGGGTAAATGAGGAGCTTATGTCAAGGGCTCAAGTAGAAAGAAAATGTTTTGAAAATGATGACAACATATGTACAAATGTGCTGTACATAATGGATGCATGGATGGATGGTGATAAGAGCTCTAAGAGCCCCCAATAAAATGATTTTTTTTAAGAAAAAAAGAAAGGAAGGAAAAGTAGAAAAGTTAAAAAACAAAACCACAACCCTTTGTGTCCAGTTAATTCCTACTCAGAGTGCCCCTACACCAGGTGTCTGAGACCACACGTCTTTACAGGAGCAGATAGCCTGGCCTTTCTCCTGGAGGGCTTGACTGCTGACTCAACAAAACCAAACCAGACTCCAACCCCACTGCCACTGAGCTGACCCTGACTCATAGTGACCCTTGCAGCACAGAGAACTGCCCTGTGGGTTTCTGTGTTAGGCCAGGTTGACTACAGACACAAATCCAGTGACACTCACATACGTGTAACAGAGCGCTTTATATCTTGAAGTAGTTACATATGAGAAAAAATCCCAGCCCAAACCAGATCAAGTCTGTAAGTCTGATACCAGCCCGTAAATCCCTCTTCAGACTCATGCAGCCACAAGCAATGATGCAGAATGCAGGAAGACCACAGGCTGGTGGGTGCAAAGTTCTACGGATCCAATGGTATGGAAGCATCACAGGGCTGATACAGGTCTTGGCATGGCTCGTCAACAGGGAGGTGAAAGCAGAGAGAGAGTGGTCCACCCTCAGAGAGCCATTTATCTCAGTGGCACCTCTAAACGAGGTCATCAAGCTGCAACCTGATTGACAGGCTAAACTCCACCCTTATCTTCTTACAGGTGCCAGGTTGGCACAAAAAAACTGTCACCGTTTCTGAGGCTGGAAACCTTTGTGGGAACAGAAAGTTTCTCTTTCTCTGGCGGAGTGGCTGGTACTATGCCACCAAGACTCCTTAAGTATAACAATATGTTCTAATCCTCTATCTGTTGTTTTAGATACTATCTATATAAGCATATGTTAATGTGAATGTACATATTTGGGAAATAATTGGAAGGCGAGACATCGAATTTGTCATGCGTCTCTAGTCAAGCATGGCATTTTCAATCACCTGATTTGCGTATGGAAACTGGACCAT